GCTGCGGCAGTGGCTGTGGGTGCCGATGCAATTTCCTGAGCCACATCAAGACTCACACCCACACCCACCCTTGGACAAGTCACTAACGGCTGTTTTGTCTCGAGTCACCCATCCGATAACAAACTGACTACGTGATTGACATACACTAAAGCCCTTGTGGCTAATATGTGGTTAGTCAGTATGTATGGGGAGCTTAAGTGACTAAGCGGGAGAACTCTGAGTCAGGCCGGCCTTCTGTCCAGAGCTACATTTAGTAAAAGAGGTAGGAAAAATATCGGGCTCTTGAAACTGTTCTCGGACAGCACCTTACACCGCGAGGTAGCCGAAAGGCGGGGTATTCTTCTTCTTCTTCTGTTCTTTTAATCATGTCGATGGAATGAGTGAAGTCGAAGTAGTATTATATTTTGATCGAATCGCTTTGAAAACAGCAACTAATTTTCGTGCATACCCATTACAAACATGATGATGACATCGTAAATGCTGTTTTAAATTATCAAGTCGAACTAAATTATGTGAACATGGTATATTTTTTAAATATTTTTGACGATATTCTGGTAAGTCCAGTCGTCCATTAATAAAAGGACGTGGGACTTTCCAAAGGTAATCAATTATTCTTTCATTTTCATCAAATAATTTTGTCGTCCTAGGATCGTGATTATCGGCAACAGCTTCTATCAAACGTTGAGCACAAACTTCTTTTAACTTATGCTTTCTGAAGAAATGATCATATAGCAGGAATCGACAATCTTTTTCATATTCACAAAATTCAATGGAATGATTTTGCTTGAGTAAGATCATATGCTGCATCAAATGTTAATGGACATTCATCAATAATCGTTCTACATGAATTTCGTTTACTTTTCTTTTGTTCTTCATTTACATGTTGAACTTGAAAGGAAAACTTAATGAATCTTTAAATATCATGCAGAATTTATTCCATAGAAAAACAAATCAAAAATATTTCAATTTAGAAATTCCTCTAATTTATGCGTAGAAAACTACTTTCAACAGAAAACTCCTATACTAGTTAATTATTTCGAAGAGAAAACTGTTCTTTTAGAACTTCATTTATTAAGAAGTTTGCTTTTCTACGTAATCTATATTGAATGTGCCATTTTTATTTTATTTACTGCTGGTATTTTTCTCATTTGACTATTTCTCGTTATTGGGCTTAGAGTAAAAGAAAATGGCGCTTTTTTCATAGACTACTTACTTTGTCCAGCACAGTTGCTTTTTTTTACGTTTGCTTATTTCTGGATTAAGGATCGTATGAAGATATCAAATAACTGAACTAGACCTAGGCATTTTTTATATTATCAGGAAACCTTAGAAAAAAGCTATTCTCATAGAAAACATCTTTAAAAAGGGTATTATTTGGAGATTTTAACTATCAAAAGTCCATTTATATGAAAAATAAGAATAATATTCGAAATTATCATGTCTAAATGTATTAGAAACTAGTTTTCATTGTAAATTTTTCTTTATTGAAATTTCATCCCTACTTCCTTCGACCATCTATTTCTAAAACTTTAACCTGTTATCCCTCTCCTACGGGATGCTGATTACGAACATTACGCTTATTTTTCATAAAAATCTATTTTTGATAGTCAAAATCTTGAAATACTATTTACTTTTATCATATTCTCTATGAGAATAGCTCTTTTCCTAAATATTAAGTTTCTTGCCAATATCAAAAATGTTCCAGATCAAATTCAGGGACTTCTTATCTTCATACGATCCTCAATCAAAACTTAGGCGAATCAAAAAAAAAATTATACGAGAGGACGGATGTAGACGCCAGTTCCTTTATTCGAGAAGCATGAATCTCATATTTCCTAATTTAAGTAACTAGAATCGCGGGCCCAAAGCTGCAAGAAAAAAACAAATAGAGCTACCCCAATTTGCAGAAAATCTCATTTTTCTGTAGTAATACAGAAGATAAACTGTTGAACTACATCCCAATTCGACCTGTCAACTCGAATATTTTCAAGACTTGATTTCGTATTTATATAGTAAAGCTATTTAGAATGTGGTTATTACTGTTTCTTTTTAACAACATTCAATAACAATAAAAATGTGAATCTATTCAATTCATTTTTGAACAAAGTACAAGGGGAGATGTTGATTTCGAAGTTATACGGTTATGTTTAATGAAATATTACACACGACATGGCAATATTTAATATATTTCAGCTAAAAAAAATTGACTCTATCTAGCCTTCTATATATAGTTATAATTAATTTTACCTTATCAAATTCCATTTTTTCACTAAAAGAATGAAAGATATATCAATCCATTTTGAATCTTTTCTAACAAAAAAGAAACTTCTTCTGCTATATCTAAACATTGAAAAAATCATATATTTTGAAGGCTTCTCTTCTTCTATGAGGGAACTATATGATCTGATCTACACCAGTTGATCTTATATTAGGCAAATAAAAACAAAACTCGCTAAGAGTAGAATAAAACTTAAAAGGAGTCGTGTTATGATCGTTCTAGTGTATTTTCGACCCATCGTTCAAGATTTATTCAAACAATAAAATAACCAAATATTTTGATCGGTAATTTCGCCCATTAATCCGTTTAATTACTTTTCGAATAATCTGAAATCTGCAGCAAAAACAAAATGTACATTCATCAAAATATGGCTGAAATAAAATTTACTTGGATATGCAATATTTCAGTAAATAGACGTTTTATTTTTAGCTGAAACTTTCAGGCTATTCCAAGGATCATATAACTCAAGTCTATGGACATTTGCAGATCGAAAATTTGGTAAAACAGACATAATTTGACTCATTAACTATAACTCTGTTAAACTCTTCTACTTTAACTAAATCCTTTTGGTGTCAATACAAGTTCAAAATGACGATTAATAAGTTCGGTTAACTCCCTCATTAGATATTGGTATTTAGGGTTGGGTCAAAACAAACATGAAATAGAAAAAAATAAGTTTTCTTATGAAGAACTAGTCATCAATGGCGATTGGTCTTTTACAATTCAGTTTAAATTCACTAAGAGAAAGGTTTCATTTTATCAATTGAATTCATGGTTTCCATATTACATTTGCGAACACAAGAACAATCTTTCGTTTCGAATAATGGAGATTCGATTTTCAACATGATGTCCTCTATAATAAAAAAAAGCAAAGCAATAAACCAGAAAAAAACGATTATCCAATTTAGTGTTTTTTTTTTACCTGAAGGACTTGATACTATTGCTTGATTAATTTGTTCGAAACTATTCTGTAATTCATCTATTGTATTATTAGATGCATTAAGAAGCCGTTTTGCTTATTCAATCAAGTTTTGCTCGCGTTTAATAATAAATAGTTTTTCTTAAACAATTAAGTTAAGTGTATTTATAACTGTATTTAATTCATTACGAAGACTATCTAATCGTTGTTTATTTTGTTTTCTTATTTCAACATGTTGAATCAAATGAGTTAAACACACAAGTTGTAAACAGCAATGACGTTGATATAATTCTTAAATTTCATCATCACACGTTATATCACTACATGGACCTTTTTCGGATATTTCTGAAAAATAAAAAAACAAACAAAGAATATTTAAGTTTTTTTCAGTATTCGTTAAGATAAGGTGATTATCACTAAAGACGAAATATTTGAAATAACTGACTGATTAACCAGCTTACGAATGCATAAATAGAATTATTTTATTGGTTCATATGAACGGAGAAGAGAAAAGGGAAAGGAATAAATAATAATCCAGTACATAATCTTGTCACATTCTTTGTTTTATCGAATAAAATAGTTCGACTACTAGACAGTGGATATCGATGGTTCGTCGTATGATTTCTTTAAAGAAATTTACTGATGAAAAAGCATTAGTAGAATTGAAAATATACTCGGAGATTTCTAATAGAAATATCATACTATTTGTTTTTCTTTTCTGAAAAACTTAATCGTATTGAGTTGAATAATACCTGACGAAAGAAAGAATTAAATTTTGTTCTACAACACTGAATGTTTGTAAGGGTTGTTTATGGTTTATGCTTTCATAGATTGATCGATGTAGCATAAAACAAAGAGTAGAGGAGAGAGAAGTGAAAAGATTAGGCAAGAATTGCTGATGCACCAAAGAAAGAAGATCACAAAAGAGCCAATGATGATACGAAGAGTGATGATTCACAGCAATGAATGGTGAATTCGTCATAATATTTAACTTTTGTTTTTTGTTTTTTTAAATAATTTTTCACATATCTGTCGAGAGTTAAGATTTGAAAGGAAAGTAGCAATATGTCAAATGTAAGAAATCTCGAAGTACAATAATGGAAAAAAAAAATTCAAAATATAAAAAATGTTGAATAAGAAATATAAGATTGTTGGGAAATTTTTTACCAATTTATTATATTTTCAATTCATATACATTGACCGAATTTGGAAACAGAAATAAAATAATGAATTTACTTTTTGCATTTTTTATGATAAAGAAAGTCAATTCTTTTAAATATACATCAGTATTAATTTCCGCATTATCGAGTTAAATTCAAAGTGTTTTAAGTTTATCTTACTTAAAGCAGACTTTTTCAATTTTGGTTTATTTGTAGATATATGTACATAGTGCGACTACGAGTTTAGGTATGAATGCATACAGAGAACTAGGTGTCAGTACGCCTGAAAGAAAAGAAAAGTATCCACGAACATCCAAACAAAAAGAAATTTAGTCTTTGTCAATTCGAGATGGAAGAGATCAACATGTCTTTTGAAAAATCGTAGTAAGAAGACAATGAAACTGTTTATTGAAAGTATCGAGCGCCTATTAACACTGAATGGCCATGAGGATGTATAGAGAAACAAAACACCATCCTCACTCTCAAGATATGTTTATTAATATTTGGAAGCAACACTTAAAAATAGATATTACCGAAGAAAAGTGAAAAGAGATGTAACAAATGAGATACATGACAAACTGAAAGATAGAGAGAAAGGTATTTTTCAGATTTTAAAAAGGAAATTGTAGCAGATACCATTGAAATGTTTTGAGTTCAGAAGAAAACAGAAACAGTTGTTTATGTTTGTAACATATAAGATGATACAATTGCCAATGCTATTTGTGTTTCCTTTTTTGCTCATAGAAAATAGATACACGTATTATAAAAGAGATATGATATAACTATCTCATATCAACATATGTTTTGATCGTATTCTATGACTACTTTCGGTGTATCGTTTACATATATGCAATAAAACTTACTTCTACTCTTATCAATATTCGTTGAAACTAGGAATGTCATATTCTCACTACTGTTACGAGTAGGTAGGAGGTGATTATTACTTGCTACTTACTAGTTACTGGTACAACTTAATATTAACTATTTGACGAATAGATCATACTTGCACGTATGCGTTAAATGATTTACACTTAGCTGAAGGCGGGCTATATACGTTCCATCATTGGTTGTTCTTACTGATATCTTTCGCGACTTTTTTTTCGAACAGAAATACCTCATTCTAAATAACTGAATTTCATAAAACTTGATCAAAGGTTTTGGGAGTCAGGGAATCAAAATTCGTAGTCAGTTTTTCACTAACAAAGAGGTTTTTCAAGAAAAAAAAAAGATTTTTCTTCAAGCAGCCAGGGCTAATACGGCTGTTTAGTGCCCTATCTATCACTTTGAATCGACCTATTTCTATTAGAATAAAGATTCGTTCCTAATCATTTTTTTCAGATTTATTTTTCGCAGGATGTGGGTGTGACTAGATGCAATATATTACATCCATGTCCAAGCACTTAATTATTGTTTAGTTGTTTTAAAACATGGTATAAATGCTCGAAAATTCTTTATATTACTTTCTAATTCTTTTTGGTTCAAATATGGATGAGTCGAAATGACTTGTCTTGTTCGGACAATTCAGTGGAAATAAAATGATTTGTTTAAAGATTTTAGATTAATTTAGAGCAGGATTGGCATTTTTCAAGTACTTAGAAAAATTTTTGCTCATAAAAAGTGTCATTTTCATTCAAATGTCGATATGTTTAGAAATATTCAAACTACAAATAGATATATTTGGTTGGGATTTTTCGCCTTTCGAGACAGAATATTGATTGTATAAAAGCAAAGACTTGAAGGACAAATCAAGTCATTCGTTTTAGAAAATTGATGTAGTTTATATAACACACGAAAACCTTTAATCAAATATGTAATTTTCTAGGAAAAAATTTCTCAGCTAGACCACGTTTAATTTGCAGTCATACTACTCTTTATGTGAAAAGTTACAGCAGATTTTTTTCAATGACTTGAGAAAATGATTTGTTCATCTATGAATAACTAAGCGTCATTCTGCTATTTCAATTGTTTAAACTCATCTAAATTGGTGATTAGATCGTAGTTTGCTGCCAAGTGTCAGATATTGTTGGACCATATACTCGAATCCATTTGCCATCTTCTTTTTTCCTCGCTTTTACGTCCCGTTGAGTAATCTGAACAACGAAATGAATAGATAAAATAGACTAGACTTGATAAATGTAAAAATGTTCTGGACTAGTCCGAACATAGTTGAAGGACATTTCATACTTGACGTAACAGGTAATGTGCATATCCGATCAGTCATATCGGACGTCTTCACTTATTTTTCGCTTACGTGGAACTTTATATATATATATTCATAACTGCTGACAACATGAAATCACTATTTTGATAAAATAATGCCTCCACCGTGTACCATTGAAACATGCAAACGTAAATCCCGAGCATTATGTCATTGTTGCAGCCAGAATCTTTGTCCTGATCATTTGAAAGAACATGATGATGTAATAAATTCTCAAGTAAATCCTCTTGTTGACGAAATTAATAATATTGATAATCAATTGTCGTCCTTAAATGTCGATGACGTTATTGATAAATGTCGTCAAAAATTGGATAAATGGCGTCATGATTGTCATAATGTAATCGATCGTTACTATGAAGAAAAAAGTCAAGAACTTCAACAACGTTGTGTTCAACTAGTTAGTCAAAAACGAAAAAAAATTCATCAATTAAAATTAAAAACAAACGAACTTATTCAAGAACAAGAAGTAACGCATGACGATATATCTTTATTGAAATCAACTATTAATAATATCAAACGTGACGTTAACCAATTTGAAGAGAATGGCATTTTAGTTGATACTCATCCTTTAATTATTAATCAATATTTAGTTTATATTGAAGAATTAACATCGAACAAACTCGATATATATACTCTTTCGTCTCCTTACCAATCAGTCGATTGTTCTAATGATGATTGGCAAGTACTGGCAAGCAATAAACATTTTTTACTATTAGGTCAATATCCAAATTTATGTTTGTTTAATAAAGAATTGACTCTTTTAAAACAATTTCCATGGGAATATGATCGCATTTCTGATATATGTTGGTCATCGACTATAAATAGTTTTATTATCATAACAAACAAAAATGGAGTTTTTCTAATTAACGAAAATCTAACATCAATTAAATCCATTCAAACAATCGAGAAAAGCCAGTGGATGTCTTGTACATGCTCAAATGCATCTCTATATCTAATCACGAATGAATCAACTTCTGATATTTTTCAATTCAATCTTTTATCGTCGTTTCATTTCATCAAACGATGGAAATCTCCTCAAACTTGTAACTACGACGAACTTATCTATACTATTGCTTACAACAATGAAACACTTGCTTTAATAATAAGAGAAAAAGACGATAAATCAAAGCGCATTGAACTTCGATCTTCATCAACACTCGATAAACTCTGGTCACTCTCATTTGATACAATGTATCGTCTTGGACGACGGTTATATCGTCTTTGTTCACTCAAATATGACGAATGGCTTGTTATCGATGATACTACTTCACATATTGTGCATGTTAGTAATGATGGAAAAATAAAGGCAAGACGTTCATACAAACCAACAGTTCATAATGCTGTTTTATTCGGTTCAAACATGTTGGCCATGAGAACAAAAACTTGTCTCAATTTCTATAGAATATAATAATAGAGCTGTGTTATTGTAAATTAAAATAGATAGATTTGTATTATTTATTCATGATTAATAAATATCTCGTCAAATCTTTGTATGAAACAAAATTTTCTATTCTATAGATCTTTTGAACAAAACAAATTATTTGTTTTTATTAATTTTTCAATAATTTCTCATATAGAGTATAAATCAAAACCAAAAATAACGTCCTCATTGAGAATGTGGGTATCGGAATTCGTGTATTTCATTTTTTACAAAAATATTAATTTTCTAGTTCTTTAGTAAAACTCAATTTCATTTTCATTAAAAATGACAATGATAACTGAAAATATGAACATCTCCGACACAATCAACAAATAATTTCAGTTGGATACCATGAAAAATATATTAAACAGTATGAATATACTATTCCACTAGATGGAATAGTCTTATTTGTTGACCATCTGTTTGTTCGATGGGATAGCATAACTATCGCATAAAAGTATGAAGTTTTGTTGTTATCAAAGAAAAATGTAGGCCAGTTGACAAAACTTCCAAAAGTACGGCCCGTTCGAAGACAAAAAGTTGATTACTATTATCTGCCACATATAATGTGTTATTCAAAACCTAAGATAATGTTTGATTGTGAGTTTAATAATCTTTGATTTGTGTTAAAACTGACATTACATCTACCAACTACTGTTGCATCGAAGCGTGATGCAAATGAATTGATTGTATCTATAAATAAAAATTTGAAAACGAGAAACATTTTAATATTTAATCGATGTGATTTTTGAATCTTAGACAAAAACTGTATTAGTTATGCATGTAGACCTCACTTGAGTTGTACGTTCTTTTCTGGATGCAAATAGAGAGTAGCTCTCATTTCTAATAAAAAATAATGAATGTGTAATCCTTGGTTTTCGTCATACAGTTTATGAGAAACTAGTTTGTATATATATATATGAGTAAATCATTATTTAAAACATTGTCGATCTTTTCAGGTATACTTTTTAGCCCATTTATGTAGAACAAGTTGACAAAAGAATCTTATGTGCTTCATTGACTCAAATATAAGGAAAAAGAATCTAGGAAAGCAAATGAATAGATTTTTGAAAGTTAGCTTTATGACAAAGCATATTTTGGTTTCTGCATTCTATCTTTGATTTTTCTTCTCGATCAGTGATGATGAAACTCTTCAAACACTCCAGATCATTACGAAGCTACTGCAATTACGTATAGAAAGAAATATTATTTCAGGTCACATTTGAATTTTTGGAAAGTTTCATACTTTTTATAAACACATTATGCAGTTTTAAGACTCCACAATTCACAGACAACCTCAATTATTATATTGAATTTTACCCACACACAATGCAGTATTTTACATGCAATATTTTGATAATTGTGTTGTTTGAAGTTAGTGATTATGTGAAATTTTGAATGTATACGCAAGTATTAATAAGAGTAAAGAGAATGTAAAACAAAAGATCGGCGTAATTAGTACTGTCCAGTTTGTTCTTGATACACAGAATCATTCGATAGCATAATATTCATGTTTCGATTTCTTTCCACTTACCTGGGTATGGGTGTGAGTGTGAATGAAGAGAAGAGTCACACCCACATCGTGTTCAAAAGAGCAACTATATGTTCTGATATAACTTGAAAAACTCTATCACTCTATACATACATATCATTTTTTGCCTTTATTTATTAGAGTAAAAAATGAAGTATATATCGAACACATTCATATCTAACCAAGGAAAAAATGTTGCACTTTTTTTTAATTTCCTATAGAAAGGAATTTCCACAAAAGTAATTTTATATTTTAATAAGGCTTGAAATTCTTTTGTTTTTTAACCATAATTCAAGTATCATGTATATGCTCTCTTCTATAAACTCAAAAAAAAATATTTTTATACCCTCTCTTTATTTTTTATTTCGAAGGTTCATGCTGATAGAGATTTTCAAGCGCTATCAGAGCATAGAATTATTTGCGAAGAAGGATGATGGTTATATTGATAATAAATGTCAAATACAAACTAAAGCCATTGAACGAGTTTGTTCTTTAGATTTTGTGCAACAACTTACAGACGTAATAGTCAATTTATTCTTTAGTAGAGCACCGTTAGCCAAAATATAAGTACATCAGATGATACAGCATATTAAGAGCTATCAGAATGTAATATTACTTTTCAGGACATTTGTTTGAATAGACAAAATAATTTGAAAACTTCAAAAGTGCAGAATTACCTGTGTTGAATGTACTTCAGTTTTTACTGTAATAAACAAATGCAAAACAAAATATATAGTTACTCTGTTTAAAAACTATTTCTATAATAATGATAAAGTTTATAGATTAATTGGAAAGATGATCACTAAATAAAGTGTATGTTTGAATCTGACGATGAGAATTCCTTACGTGTATTTGATTTATTTTGTAAAACTTATATATTTTTTCGAAGAAAATAGTGGTTGTAAGTTTTAAATCAAATTTTAGCGGCTTCATCTGCTCCTTATTGCAGACGTCTCTCCATTACACACCTTAGCAACAACTTTTAGGTATGATTACGTGTTATAGATTATGAAAAGTATTTGAGTTCCACATTTCAGCCATAAAGTGACTGAGCGGACAAGCTTTTTCGTCAAATAGATGCAAGTTAATATATAAATACATAGAGAGATAGAAAACGTCAAGCGCTTTCAAAGTATGCAATACATGCTTGTATAAAAGAGAAATTCTATTTGTGTATGTTATAACCAATAGAAATGAATTATACACACCACTGTGAAACAGAGAAAGCTTGTTTCTATTCGTTATACATTGAACAAAGAACACTTATCTGTGTTCATCTTTGTTCTATAATAAATCATATCAATCTTATCATAATTACATTTTTTCAATCCGAATTGATATATTTTTTTATTTGATCATTTATAGGATACATTTGAAGTTGAAGACAAAAAAAGATGAATCTTGAACGGTTGGTTAACGAAATTCTGCTCGATATGTTCGAATATCTAAAGAGCGTTCATTTACTTCAAGCTTTTTCTCATCTCAATACTCGCTTTAATGATCTTCTCATTATACATTTTCGAACTCATGGTCTTGATTTTCGATCAATATCTAAACACAATTTTGATGCTGTCTGCCAACAAAATCTTTCTTTGATTGCTGATCATATTACTGGTCTACGTCTTTCGGACGACGATGATACACCACAGCAAATTAATCTATTTCTATCTGATTCTTTAACTCTTCGTCAATTTATTCAATTAAAATCACTATCACTCTACCATATTTCTTCATATGAAATCATCAAAAAAGTCGTCGTACAATTTTCTCATCTTGCTCTTCTCGCTCATTTCAATTTGATCAATTGTCATTTAAAATTTCACAGAAAAACACTACGCGATATTTTGAATCATATTTGGCATTTACCCAAACTCATACACTGTCATCTCGACTTGCATTTTCAACACAAATCTGATTTTTGTATTCCAACGATTCGATCGAAATCGATTGAAGATTTATGTATTGAAGATGTTTCGTTGGATTCAGTTCAATTAATTCGATTATTTCGATGCACACCAAATCTTCGACATTTAAATGCTCAAATCAATAAACTATCGAACGATACGCAACTTCCATCTATTATCGAATCAATATCGTCAGTAAAATTTGTCGTCGATCATCTAACTCATGGAACGATTAATCTACTAAAGAATATGCCTAATTTAACTGATTTAACTCTTGAAACTGGAAAGCATCATATGAACGGTCATAAATGGAAAGAATTTATTGTTGATTATTTACCGAAATTGAAAAAATTTCGATTTCTTATGTTATTTTTTGTTAATAATGAAGAAGAATTGAACGAAATTCTCGATTCTTATCGAACTCCATTTTGGCTTATTGATCATCAATGGTTTGTTCGATGTCATTGGGAATTAAAAAATAACAAGATTCTAGTTTATTTTTATACTTTACCATATTCTTTCTCTTCTTACACTTACTTTTTAAAAAATTCCAATATTTGCACAAAATCAACATGTCCTCATGAAGATGACTATTGCTCTTATAATCATGTAACCACATTAATGCAGCCTTGTTCGATACCAAATGATTTGTTTGTATCTCGTATTCGTTTTCACAACATTCGTCATCTTGAAGTGAGTTTTCCTCTCGCTGATCAATTTTTGTCCGTTATTCCACAACTCGATCAATTGACTTCTCTCGAAATAGCAAGTGATTCCGGAATTGTTGCCAATATTGCTCTATCTCAATTGCAAAATCTTATTAATCGTGCACCTCGTCTTTACTTGTTGACTATTGGTCACTGGGATTCATCGATTATTCAACACTTACCATTGAATCTTACCAGTAGTTCGATTCGGCGACTTGATTTGCAAAGTTATCATTATCTAAAACGTGATCGTTGTTTCAACCGTGAACAATGTACAACATTTCTTCGTTCACCACTGGCAAAACAGTTAGAAGTTCTACAAATTGTCGTCGATAATCGATCGAGTATAGATGATTTAATTAATGGAATGACTAATCTTCGAGCGTTAAAGGTGGTACTTCAACATGGTCGATGGGATAATCATTTTCCTAGGGAAGAAGAATTTATTACATGGATGACATCTAATTATTCACGTACATTCACAGAGAACTTAACTGGTACCGAAATTATCCGTTTGTGGGTTCGGTAATAAGTAAGGAAAATGTTGATTGTTTGTAGACTAACTGAAATTCAAAATTTTGTTTCATTTATCTTTGTGTTTATTAGAAATAAAACTTGAAAAAAAACCTCAATGCTCATGTAAAATTAGAATTATAGATGAAATTTTCATCAGAATCTTATACACACAATAAAATGCAACTGTATGTTGTATAGAAGAATATTTTTGAATTACTATTCAAAACTTAGTTTGTTTATAGGATATTCCATTATAATAATAATATAGAGAAAATCATTTGTGCAACTGTAGATACAAGAGATTTCAAGAGTCTGATTTGAAAAGTAACTTCATATAACTTGGCTTTTATCAAATTTAATCAACTATTTTTTTTTTCAAAACATACATATCAGTGTGAAGTTTTTTTCAGAAGAACAATCGCCACAAAATTTCATTCCTTAATATCAACTGAAAGTTTTCTATTGAATTAAAATAGAAGCATCGTTAATTATAAATTTATTAACGATTACTCTCTATCATCAAAGAGGGATAAGTTACGAACTTACTTTCTAGTATAACAGAAAATTTTTTTAAATCATAGAAAAAATGTCTCTATGCTAATTAAGAATTTTCAAAAAACAATCAAAAAAAAAGGCAATTAAACTTCCATTTGGTGTTAGTAAAAATTCACTGGTATTTCTAGAATATA